TTCGGCTTTGACTACGGAAAGAGATAAAGAGGAGAGAAGACGCATCGCTGGACATGAACCACACTCGTGGATCTTACCTTGTTTTGTTTACCCCAACAAATGCACACAATGGCAACCCCGACACCTCCTAAGCTAAGCCATGTCTTCCATCTCCGAGGCCACATGGGTGCCGAGACCATCAAAGCTGGAAAGCATCGCTCCGGTCCCCATCGCCATATTACCGCGCTCGAAGGTGGCTTCCTCCGCGGCATTCCGGGAACGAGGGGAGAGGGACTCGACGCAACTCTCGTCGTTGGTGGCAGTGACTGGATCTTGTTTGATGAGACCACCAACACCGCTCACTGGGACGTGCGTACCCAAGGGCGCACCAAGGCCGGGGAGTGTGTCTATGTTCACTATAACGGGTATCTACGGCTGGACGAGGCGGCGGAGAAGTTCATGGCATGGAGCCCGGATGCAAAGACCACGGAGTTTGGCAACCATCACTGGTGGAGTGCGCCAAATATTGAGACCAGTGGTACCACAGATGCTTGCACTCGGTGAACGCTGACCGAAGTCCGAGTGCCATTACTGACCAGGTGTAGATCCGAAGTTTACATGGGTGTCCACGACGCAGTTCGTGGGCAGGGGACGATGGTTCAGAGAGGGGGATGTCCAGGCGGTGGAGTACGAGATTTATGAGGTGATCCATTGAATAGTTCTGACAGGTTTCTTGGGATACATGTTTTTAGATTGTACGGATAATCCTAGTTGGGATTCCTTGTCTCTTCTGCTGTCGCAGTATACTGCTCGGGACGTCAAGGATGGATCCGGTCGTTCTGATAGCAAAAACATTTCTTTTGTGTTGCCTCGGGCCATTCGATAAGACATGCGCTCGACCGGACTTTTTAGAGACCATTGAAGGCAATCTCTTGGTTGATATGTCTGTGCAATGGCTGTGGGGGTAGGGGAATGTCGTTCTTGCTAGGTGCGAGAGGCTATTCTATTCCTATGCATCAGACACGCAATCCAGCATCCACCGGTAAATCATCCCATCCGTATTTCTGCGCACGGTCGGATCCACCCAGGCTGAACCCAAGCCATACAGATGCATCTGGCCCCATTCTACCTGAAGATGATGTCGCACTCCGGCCTTGCTGAGCAGAGCAGCCAGATCTTTGCCCTCCTGCAGGGCAAACTCGCCCCCCCCAGCCAGAGCCAAGACCGGACCGAGTCCACTGAATGCAGCGGGCGCACAGGACAGCGGATTGACTCTGGGCGAGTTCCCACTTTCGCCGTCCAACCAGGCGTCGACAAATGTGGGCACTGTCGCGTTGGCGCCCACGATGTAGTCTGTCTCAACAAGGGCGTTCCCTCCCTCAAAGGCCTTCAGTGACATGTCCATCCACGGTGAAATCAGCACAGTGCCTGCTGGCTGGGGAAAATTGTTCTGCTTAGCTGCGAGGCAGCTCAGCAAGCAAAGACCCCCTGTCACAGTTTGCTTGTCAGCCCGCGAGTCTGTATCTATCGATGGGGTTGGGGCGGTGGATGACAAATGTAAACAAGAACCTACCGCCAGCCGAGTCGCCCATAAACACGATTTTGCTGGGTGATATCCCACAGCCCAGCACATACTGATAGGCCTGCAGAAAAGCCTGTTGCTGTGCAGGCTGGGGCGCTTGGTGGGTGAGTGCTGTGCCATGAAGACCAAATTCAGTCATTCAAGAACCGAGTGAAGTGAGATTCAAACATCCGAGGAACGGTAGCAACGCACGATATTCCACGCTGAGAAACACAAGTTCCAGTCCCTCCTGTGCAGCACCGGCGATCCATCTATCCATGTAGTTCAGATACATCCGGGCCTCGCCACGGGCATACCCGCCCCCGTGCGCATAGATCACGATACATCGTTGTCGCTTGTCATCCGGGGTGACGGAGAGCTCGGCTGTTCCAGGGATCACATAGCCGCTGAATTTATCCCCAACCCTGCGCGCGCGAGCCAGGGGGCAGTCGGTGACAGGCAATCGATGGATCAGCTCCGGGAAGCAGTAGGAACTGGACGACCAGTATGCCCGATGAAGCCGCAAACGCAGCGATTGGTAATGTGGCAAGCCGGGTAAGAGAATCGCGCGAAGCCCAATCAGAAGCATTTGAACGGTGAAAGTGTAGAGAAACTGAAACGATCGACCGGGGTTCTGCAGGAGGAGCTTGCATAGCTTGACCATCTTGGCGTTCTTTGTCTGGGGTTTCTCTTGTCTAGCTAGCCAGACTATACCGTCAGTACATTTTTGTCTCAAGGTAGTGCGAATCAAGACGACAACTTCTAAGTCTGCCTCAATTGTGGTTCCTTGTTCCCGGCCACGGCTTCTCCAGACTCTCGGTGCCGATTCAAGCCTCGGCACCGGCAGCGAGGAACCGGCGGGGACGTATCCGAATACCGATGACTGCCTGCGATTGTATGTTCCAGAGGGGAATACGGGAGTGTTCTATTTCATATCAATCAAGATCTCGACGATCGAGTGCTTCCCAATCTTTCTTTGCATTTGTTTGCATAGTTTCAACCGACCGCCCCCGTTTTCTTTGCGCACGAAACATGGGTTCGATCGGTCCGACCAGCCACCAACATGCAGGAGCAGACTATCATATTCGCGAAACCCCCATGGGGTCGCGTCGCCCCATAAAGATTATATTCATGGGCATGGGCGCCGCGGGGATCAACTTCGCCCAATCTGTGGCGAAGCAGACACAAAACATCGACTTGACGATCTACGAAAAAAGCAGCGATATTGGTGGCACATGGCTAGAGAACCGATACCCCGGCTGCGCCTGTGATATCCCCAGTGTGTGCTACCAGTTTAGCTGGCAACCCAAGCCCGACTGGTCGCAGTACTATGCTGGATCCCGCGAGATCTTTGGCTATTTCAAGGACGTGGCCGTGAGTAATGACCTAGAACGCTTCGCCAAGTTCAACCATGAGATAGTGGGAGCCGAGTGGCTGGATTCCATCTCGAAATGGAGAATCACAATCCTGCGTGATCAGGACCCAACCACGGCCTTCGACGACTATGCCGATTTCTTCCTCAATGGTGGCGGCCACCTCAATGCTTGGAAATGGCCGGAGATCTTAGGACTGAACACCTTCCAGGGCCCTCTAGTGCACAGCGCAAATTGGGACGATGCGGTTGAGCTGGCAGATAAACGCGTGCTGGTCGTTGGCGCTGGCAGCTCGGCGGTGCAGATTGTCCCCAATATCCTACCCAAAGTCAACCAGTTACACATTGTCGCTCGGTCGCCTACCTGGATAACAGCCGGCTTTGCGCCGAAGTATGCCGGCCCCGGGGGTAGCAACTTCGAATATTCCGAGGCCACCAAGAAGCAGTTTCGAGACGACCCGGAGTTGTACCTGCGGTACTGCAAGGCTATTGAGTCGGAGCTCAGCGTCCGGTTCCGGCTCGTGGTCAATGGCTCTCCCGAGGCTCTGGCGGCGCGCAAGTTCTCGGAGACCCAGATGAAGCAAAAGCTGGCGAGGAAACCAGAATTGATTGACAAGCTGATGCCCAAGACCTTTGGAATTGGTTGTCGTCGACCGACCCCGGGAAATGGGTTTCTTGAAGCCCTGACGGAGGACAAGACCACGGTCTGGACGGAGAACCTCAGGGCAATCACACAGACGGGGTTTATCAGTGCCGATGGCCAACACCATGAGGTGGATATTATCATCTGCGCCACGGGCTTCGATACCACCTTCCGCCCTCGTTTTCCCCTCATCGCCAACGGCCGCAACGTTCAGGACGATCCCGCCGACGCCCCCGGGTACCTCGGCCTCAACCTCCCCGAAATCCCGAACTATTTCATGTTCAGCGCCCCCTATGGACCCCTGGGCCACGGCTCTGCGCTCCCCATGATCGAGGCCTTCACCAACTACATTCTCCAGATCATCAAGAAGGCGCAGGTAGAGGACATCCGCCGGATTCAGGTTTCACGTCAAGCCGCCAAGGAATTCACCCGCCACGCGGACCTCTATCTCAAGCGGACAGCCTGGTCTGGCCCTTGCAGCTCCTGGTTCAAGGCGGGTCAAGTCGGCCGCAAGCCGAAGCTCTGGCCGGGCTCCAGAATCCACTACCTGACTGTCCTCCAGGCGCCACGATTTGAGGATTACGAGATCTCGTATCTCACTAGTAATCGATTCAACTACCTTGGGGACGGATTCGAGGTACGCGAGTATGATGGGCGAGATTTGACCTGGTATTACGGACTATTGGATGGACAGGATGTGCAGCCTGCGGAGGTTCCCGTGCCAATGTACTAGGGTCAGCCTTTTATCTCTACTGTCGAGCATTCAATGCATTGGGTCCGTGCACAGATCACAAGCAGGGCTGTAGCACTGTGTCTACCTTCATGCGTTCCATAACGTAATCGGAAAGCAAGGGGGCACCCTGTATATTGCATATAAAAGGGTCTATTTTAAAATAACTAGAAAGTAACCACGCTACCATCAAGAGGTAAGAAATTGGATCTAGAGTAAAAGTAGAGAAGCATCTTTTAGCTTGAACTTTCTAGAATTATAATAGCCTAGAGTTATTAGATCCTAAGTTAACTTCAAATATGTAAACTTACCGTGTATTTTATATTACCTTTGTAAAGAATGGTTCAAAATACTCAGCATTGGTAATATTATAATTATTATATGAAAATAAGATGTGAATCTTATCATGCGCATATCAATGTAAAGAAAATTTAAGGATTGTAAGATATAGTTACTCCCTTTGATGCAGTACATAGGTCCCCACTCGCTTGCCGATTACGTATTCCGGGAGTACGGGTTAGGGTGAATAGGCTCGGCACCGTGACGTCTGCCCTTGATTTATTCAGTTCCCCCAACCCAGGGTATACAGTCAACAGGGACCACTACGGCATCCGTCAGGTTTGCATTCTGACTTGTTCATTGTGCTGCATACCGATTCGAGACCTTTCGATTGGGTTGTCTCGCAACTCCGCGGACCAAGGAACCAACAAGAGTGATGGCCGAACTACTCGAGCCCGTCATTCTCGGGGATAATATTCAGCTTCGGAAGTGGATTTGCATGGGTTCCATAACGCGCAATCGATGCATTGATGATAACAAACCGACAGAGGCCAGCTTCAAGCATTACGTTGATAGGACACGCGATAGCACGGGGTTGACCATCGCCGAAGGCACCTTATAAGCCCTCATGGCGCCAAATGGCCACATGCATCGGTCATGGACAACGATGAGCACGCGCGGGCCTGGACCAAGGTTACCAGTGCCGTGCACGACCGGGGGGGGAGATCTTCTTCCAGCCTTGGTACGCTGGTCAGTCGATTTCGACCTCCTTGCAGTCCTTTGTCATCGGCGAATGAGATACTGACCTTGTGAGCTGCGTACCTACAGGGCGAATTCAGAATGGGAACATGCCGATGCTAAAAGACAACGGATACCTGGTCCATGCGCCCTCCAAGATTGCTGCGAAGAAAGGCAAATTGCGCACAATAGAAGGAACTCCAGGTCACACCCACAACATTGTCGAGATCGACAACCCGGAACCCTTTGTGGTGCAATACCGCCACTCGGTCACCCTGGCAAAAGAGGCTGGTTTTGATGGCATCGAACTGTTATCTCAGGGGTGAGTGTAATGTGAATCACAACATGAGCAAGGAAATATTCCAGCTGACATGATATTGATCATTTCCCGACTAGCGGTCATCTCCTTGATAGTTTTCTCGCATCGTAAGCATTCACACCCCCTAAACCCAGGCTTCGCCCAGCTGAGATTCCTCCGCAGGTGAAGAAGTTCTCGGACTAATGAGTACAGCGGTTTCGTCGAGAATCGGTGCCGCTTTCCTCTTGAAGTCCTCGATGCGATGATTGAGGTAGGGGGCTTGCGGTCAGTTGGAATCAAGATTCGGCACCGGATGACTACAACGACACTGCTGTCTCCTACCAGGGGTTGAGCAAGACGTATACGTACTACATAGAGGAGCTGATGCGCCGTGACCTTGCCTTCATCAATTTATCCCGACGCGGCTGCGACGTCGGACGGGAGACCGATGAATATTTTGAGTCACCGCCGAGGCCACAAGGCAAAAAATTGGCGCCAAAGTACGACCCCTTCCTTCAATGCGGGCCCATGGTCAGGTTTCCCGGAAGTCAGACAATGCTGATGGTCAACCATGAGTACACGATGGAGGAAGCGAGTGCTCTGATCGAAACTGGCCGCTTTATCGGTACTGTGGTGATCTTCAAGTAGGAGCGGGCAGGGGAATTGGGCATACGAGGACCTCATTACGTGAGGAGCTGGCAAGGTCTTCAGTGGTGTGAAGTCGGCACCGAGCCTGTCACAATAAATACTCTGCGAATATTCCCATTCATCTCGATGCCGAGGCCCAACGGGCTTCTGCGCATTTCAAGGTTCATAGTCTGCCCAGGAGGAGCTAATCAAAAGCAGGGTCGATGCGAGATTTCTCGTTCCGCTATCATTCATGTACATTGCCAACCAGCTCGCCAGAGGAAATGTATCATATGCGTAAGCATTGCCTCCCCCACCCTTGGGTGCATTCCACTATCATCCAAATCATGGTGATCACCTTCGCGGTCCAAGGTACATTTCTGGAATGCAACAAGAGCTCGGTTACAGCGCTAACCGCTACACATTAGCCATCTCCATCTATTTTCCGTTTTATGTTTTCTCCACGCCGATCGCGACTGTTCTGGTCTGGAAGCTTGGTCCCAGAGATTTCTCGAGCTAGCTAAGCGAATGGCGATTTTCTTCGTGGTTGGTTTGGTCTTTGGGGGCTTTGGGGGGGGGGGGGGGGGGGTTCTAGCCTATGGACTGGAGCAGATGAACGGTATGGATGAAAAAAGTGGTTGGCGCTGGATATTCATCTGGCAAGGAGTCCTGACAATCATCATCGCGCTGCTGGGATACCTCTTTACGGTGGACTTTCCCGAAGCTGCCCACCGCAATACCTTCAGGTTTCTGACGCCCTCCGACCTTGAAATTGTCATTGACCGAGTCCGAAGAGATCAGGATGATGTAAAGCTCAACCCCTTCGAGCTGACGGCCTACTTGAGACATGCTCTAGACTGGAGACTCTGGTTGTTCGCCGCCAATTTCTTCACATCATCGCAGATCACATACTCGGTACAATATTTTCTGCCAATCATCCTGCAGACCAGCCTAGGCTTCTCCACCACCTACGCACTCTGCTTGACTACCCCGGTCAACGTCTGTGCTAGATTGGTCGCATATTTTATACACTTCCAAGTGTGGGATAAACCTAAATGGCAATCGAGACTTGTAGCAATGGTGGGCTCCATCAGTCGGCCCACACCTCGACCGATTCGCGTCTAATATCGAAAGCCCTGGCTGGTGGTAAAGAAAGCCAAGACAGTAGATAAAGTGAATAAGCGCAGCGCCACTACGTGGTCCGAGTTCGGGGTTAGTATTGATAAGAACTAGAGATTTCGTTTGCTGGACGAGGTACAGGATAAAAAACCGGAGCGGCAAGCGTATCGGTATGCGCATCAATGCTCGGCTTATTCTTTCATTGGGCAAGAGTTGACAAAGCCGAGCTATAAGAGAGATATCGTTCAGAAACTTTTGACAGCAGTTCAAGGCGTCACAGGTGAAGATTTTGTGCACAGCCCAAGGGACAAGGACAAGAACAAGGGTCAGAAGAGGGAACGGGCAATCAAGGAGACTGGCTGCCCGGAAATGACTTCGATGCAGGGTCAGCCATGCATCCCGCAGTACACCGACCCCTCCCTCCTACACAATCATCGTCCCAGCCTACGCTTGACCAACAGATCGCTACACGGTATTACAAAAACCGAGAAACCCACCAAGACCAAGCCTGTCACCGGAAAATTCCAGGCCGTTCCTAGAGAACGTCCCGCCCGCAGCGAAGTTGACCCTCATTATGTTGTCGAGAGCTTTCGCTTGACGCCAGACGAGAGAACCTTTCTTCTCGATCTGTTGCATTCCGCGAACCCAAGCGATCTCTCTCCCCGGGAGCGTGATCCCCAGGAAGAGGAGTTCTGGGCAGATTATGTACATCTTCTCGATCAAGTCCATGCCCTGGGAGAATGAAGAAGAACCCACCCCCAGGTCGGAACGCAGTGCAAGTCAAGCATCAATCGCAAGTCTGAGGCTATTACATGTGAGGCTCGAACAAAGAACCCAGTGCAATTTTGTGCCATTTTAATCATATAATCCCATCTAGGCAGAGAGGAGAAAAGGGAACTAGGATCAGAGATGGCCACGTCGATCTTTTCTCGTTGTGTTGCGCTCACTGGGCATGATCAAAGCCACTTGGGTGGCAATCGCAACGAGATTCCCCACGACATCCACAACCACGACTTCCACATCCAACCGTCCATTATGAACCGACTTCATGTGGATATGGCTATAGAGCCACTCGCCTAGGCCTGCCCCAGCACATCTCTTGTAGTCAATGTTGAGGGCAAGAGTGGGGAACCAAACAGGGCCGGGGGCGCCAGCCACAGTCTCGCCCGAATTGTACTTCTGATTCACCCAATGCTCTAGAGGGCCGAGTGCGGTGGGGAGAATATCGCACAAGAACGAGACGGACTCCATGGTCCAACTCGTGCTGCTTCCAGATTCCTGCTGGCTATCCGGGCGGAGTCGCGCCCATTGTCCGACGCCTGGCTGCTGGGGGGTGTCGGCACGGCCGCTCCCCGCGCATGACTGGTATAATTCCACCCTGGTTGAAGCACGCCGGAAAGCCGGATTCGACACTACAACCTTCTTCCACATGTTGTCACCCGTGTGTGACGGAGGCGAGGACGCCATCTGGATCGAAGCCTTGCATACGCGGCTGCCGATACTCCAATCGCCGGGCACCGAGATGCCGGTCTCGGAAACGCGGTCGGATATGGTCACGTACCCTGCCACGCCAGGACGATCGGCCTGAATGACGGTGACATGAATCACCGAGATGCGAGTTCCAAGCTTTATATTGTCCACCAGGAAGGTGGCGGGGCCGGTCTGGCAACGATGAAAGTAGGACAGTTGCATCGCAATCGGCCTGGCGCATTCATGGTGGCGGTTCGGCTGTGTCGCTAGAAGATGCGTGGCTGCTACCCGGTAGAAGATTGCGGCGACATAGCCTCCATTGGGCACTGTGCCTCAGTCAGTAGGGAGACCAAATTGAGGAAAAGGAGACAAAGACAAAGGAAGATAGGCTTGGACAAAAAAAAGCAAAAGAAAGGGAAAAAAGAAAACCGACCGTTGCCGACCGACCAGTCCCATCTCAGATCGGCCAGATAGGCACCCGGGCGCAGAGCCTGGACTTGGATTGCACGTTCAAATGTATCGAACCCGTTTGCAAGAGGCATAGTAGGCATTGACATTGGCGATGCATGTATCTTCGCAGTCTTGCGATGATAAGACATGACGATGCAACCCTCAGTCAATGTGTTAATGTATATCCGCGACGCCGACCGCTCGCTCGGTACCGAGATCAATCACCCACACCATTGACCGTGACCCTTGACCTCCCATCACCAGACATGGTAGATAAAAGAACCATTGGAAGGATGAACTTTGCTTCATCGGGAAGCTAATCTTAAGGTGATTCTACTCTCGCCGAACTATGGCAGTTATCGACCGCTTGCGAATTTCCGACCGGGGGGAGATCGAATCTCCCATGTCGGTGGAAATCCCCCCCACGGATCTGTTTTCTTACATCACCTCGGGGGGCACCCCGATCTCGCGCCAATCGCCCCAATACTTTGATGCTACGGCGCCTACCGCCAACTATACCCTGCAAGATGCTGAGCTCATGGCCAAACGATTTGGGTATGGTCTACAGAAGGTGATGCAGCTACGAAAGCAAGAAAAAGTTCTCCTTCACTCGGGGAATGACTTGCTGTTCCCCATCGTGGTCTGGGGAGTGACTGCGGCCGGTGGCGTCTTCACCGGAGCCTCGCCCTCGGCCTCGGTGTATGGTAAGTTGGAAGTGAACTTCTCAACAGTCTCCGGCATCTTTTGGGCAATGTTTGACGACTGGATGGTGCGGGCTAGAGCTTGAATACCAATTACGTGATTCCGGGGCCACTACTTTGATCACGAGCATGGAGGGATCAAAGGTGGCTATCGAGGCAGCACGGAAGGCCTGTCTTTCCGTGGACCGAATTCTCTTGCTGGTCGCACCAGGGATAGACCACGGACACCCTGGCTCCATCCGGCGATGGACGGAGATTTGGGGGTCGAGCGAAGAAGCGAGTTTGTGGACATGGGACCGTATCTCCTCCGTGGACGAGGCGAGGACGACGACGGCGGTGATCAACTATTCGAGCGGGTGTGTTAAGGCATCTTCAATTTGAAAATGGCTTCGTCGACCGCAGACATGACTGACTCGCATAGGACGACCGGCTTACCCAAGGGCGTCGAACTCACCCACTACAACATCATCGCCAACGCTGAGCAGATCATTGCAAAGCGCCTTCTGGTAGATAACACCGAGGCGGGTCGCGCCCGTCGGGATAGACTCAAGGCGTCAAGTGAGCGATGGCTCGCCGCCGTACCGATGTATCATGCCTTTGTGAGTCCGTCCATCGAGATGGCGCTGCCCGGTCGGTTCGCCCTCATCTAACATCATGGGGTACTTGAAAATGAGGTTAGGGTCAATCTTATTTCTGTGTCATTGCTCCCCGCCTCGGGGCCAAGGTCTTTATCATGCCCAAATTCAACTTGCACCAGTACCTCACCTTTGTGGACATCTACCGCATTACGTTTGTCAACGTCGTCCCCGCCATGCTAGCCATGCTCTGCAACGTTGAGCAACCAGGACGTTTCAATTTCAAGGCTATCGAGTCGATGACCAGCGGTGCAGCCCCCTTGGATCCAACCATCGCGCAGCGGTTCCGACATCTGTACCTACGAGATGAGGTGCTGGTCAAACAAGGGTGGGGCATGACGGAGACCACATCCAACCTGACCGGCTTTACCCCAGATGATCAGGATGATGGGCGATCCATTGGCTGGCTGAGCCCTAATTGCAAGGCGAGAATTGTGCCGGTTGCAGGGCGTGAGTTCGAAGGAGGTGCGGGTGCCGAGGGGAGACTGCTGGGCGAACTCTGGGTGGCGGGCCCCAACGTCATGAAAGGGTATTGGAAGCGTGAAGCTGAGACGAAAGATGCTTTAATCACCGAGGGGGAGGCGCGATGGTTGCGCACGGGCGACATCGCCTATGTGGATGATCGGGGGTGCTTCTACATCGTGGATCGACTGAAGGTACGTACGCCTGGATTCATCTTCACTCAGATCAAGAGAAATCACCCTCGCGCTGTGCCTACACTGACCGCACCAGGAGCTCATTAAAGTGAACGGGTTTCAGGTCTCCCCCACGGAGCTGGAGAAGGGTTTAATGGCCCATCGAGGAGTCGTGGACGCGGCTGTCGTGGCCTACAAAAAGTGCGTTGCTTCCTTAACCATGCTGGTCAATGAGTTGCCACTGACACCCGAGCCCGACGGAGCAGACAAGGCAGCGAGTTTCCCAGGGCATTCGTGGTCCGCACAAGCCCCAGTGTGACGGCTGAGAAGCTCCATGCATGGATCCAAGAACGATTTGCTCGGTACAAGTGGTTGAAAGGGGGCATCTTTTTCATCGAGCGAATTCCGAGAACAGCCAGTGGAAAGGTTATTCGACGACAATTACCCAATCCTAAGGAATCTAGACTCTAGGCTACGCAGCGGTGAGGGGATGGACAGGCGCGAATCAAGATATTCTTAGACAGTAGCCACAAGAATAGGGCACCAAAATCAATGTGACTTGCCCCAGGAACTAGTCATCGTCTTTATGTCCCCCGACATGCGGCAACTGCCAACGACATCGATCACCTTCACACTCTAGTACAACGCCCTGGCATTGACGCGCATAAAGCGGTCGTAGTCCGCTTCGGCGGTGCCGATGGTGGTGCAAGCGCCCGCATCCACGACGGCGCTGTTCACGACAATATCTAGATGCTAGGAGATATGTTGAGTGAACCTCAGAGAACGCAACTCTATCTTCGAGTAACAGAATGTAAGGTGTAGAATGTATCTTTTTGACTGTGGGAATGGAGCTGAACCCAAAATTGGTCACCCCGCCTCCCTCTCCTCTTCTCGACCCCATTGCAAGCCTCATCGGACGCTCCGGGGAAGGCAACCAAGAAAAGAACCACAGGATACAACAGCAGTACGAGTAGAGAAGGACTAACGGCCACAGAATCGCAGTTCTAAGTGCCGGAGTGGGGGATATGATACAAGGGTGAAGACCAGCCCTAGCATGTTGGCCACGTCGCCACCACCAATCTTCTCGGCAATGACGCCAACATAAAATGAGGCCACCATTCCCAACACGCATCCCAGCCAGCCAGCAACAAAGGCTCCAAAGCCTGCATAACCAATGGGGAGCCGCGACTGGGTATTCCAGCCATCCAGGTCATAGTTGGTGATCTTTCCCTTGCGGAAAAGAGCATGCTCTGTGAAGAGAATTGCGAAGTATATGGTATTGAAGTAGCCGACTAGCGCCAGTATGTTACTTAGGAACGTTGGCACTGCCGTTTTCCCTGCGATGGACAGCACCACGAGGCCGGCGAACGAGGCCAAGCTCCAGAAAAATCGCGGGACCATTTGAAGTGGCGCTGCAAGCTGCTGGACAGCCAGCGCAGCCGAATAGATGGCGATAGCGCCGAAGCCAACTGTGTTTCCAGTCAGGTATGTTCAGCTATTGCTGGCATTGCGTGGATGATTGTCCTTGGGGACAACCGTGAACGGGGTCGGGGGGAAACACTCACTACCTCCGAGGCTGAAGATGACCATGACGAATTTAGCAAGCCCGGACGGATACATCAGGCGGAGCATGACCTCGCCAATGCCATGAGCATTATAGGCAGTGGCTAGGCTGGCATCCTGGGCCAGGGCGGAGCCGATGAGGCAGCCTGGTAGTACCCCAATGAAGTTGGCAATCCACATTCCGAACATGGTGAGAAGATATACCTTGACCCGGGAGATATCAGCAGGGTAATGCACGAAGTAGTCCGATATCCAGGAGCAAAAGATTGAGGTGCATCCGTAGGAACTGGCGAGAAGATTCAGAACGGCGGCAGTGAACGCCATCCCGGATGCAGTGGCGGGTTGCTGTAAGGATACCTTGTTCCCCGTCTCGCCGAACAGAATGAGGGTCAAAATAAAAAATGGCATCCAGAAGTAGGCCTCGATGGCAAGTAAGATCCGGTATCCGCCAAAACCAATGATCAGGGCCAAGACGGTCACAATAACAATGCCAACGAGAATGGAGAGACTGTAGCCAGACACGGCGGACAGTCCCTGCCCTGCCGTTATGCATTGAACCGAGGCAAAGCCTATGAGCCCAAATATATTGAACAACGCTACAATCTTTGTCGGCCTGTCTGCCGGTCAATCGGGAGCCGAGAGGGGGTTGGCAAGCCAAAAAAAAGATAATCCACGTACCACCATCCCATGCTATATCGAGACACCGAGATCTGACGCAGGCCCGTCGCTGGACCCAGAGTGCCACACCAGGCCTGGAGAGCGTTTCGAACTTTAGCAAGTCGGCATTCGACCGGCAATCCAGGGCAGACCTACAGCAGTCATGCAACCCAACAAAATTCCAAACATCATGATCGGAATCGTTTGCCCGAGGGACAACCCATAGCTCCATCCGAGGGTCCCAATACTGAAGTTTCCCAATCCGAAAGTCCCGCTCGACGCCCAAATGACGAAGATGTACCACAGCTTGGGAGGCTGGCGGTTCTCGGGCAGCACTCGTTCAGGACCCGAGCTCTCTACTCCAAGCCTTCGGTCGAGAACGGCTTCGTAGTACCGTAGGGTCTCGAGGACATTCCGAGAATTGCGAAGTGCCCCCTCAGAGGAGACGCTCGGGTCTTTAAAAGACGCTGCAGGAGATACAAAGTCCGGCAGCGCAACATCCTTCTTAACGGCGGTGAGTTCGATATCAGTCGTCATCGTGGTTGGGAGGAGGAAGAGAAGACCTCAGCCGTAACCCTGATCAGATGATAAAACAATTACACCCCGGCCTTATCAGAACGCCAATGCCCAACGAGAGGGTGGGTGGCGAGCAGATAGGAGGCGGAGTAACCGGAAGCCCTTGTCCCCTTATCTTCCCCACGAGAGGACAACGAAGCTCCCAAAGTTTCTAGCTTTCCTCCGACCAGTCGATGTCGCGGAGACAATGAGATATGTGCTGAAGCGGGATCTCGAAGGACCACCGATAGCTCACTTGGAGATCGGTGCCTAAGCCCACGCGTCCACAATCATGGATTCTACAGCCCTTGGGTTCTGTGCGTCGTGGCCGGAGCGCTTGTCCCCGAAGACGGCCAGAGAAAGGACTATCCGAGTACCAATAGAGCAAAAACAACATGATTGGCCTCAGCATTCTCCTTTATCTTAAAATGATGCTCGGGAATCCAAATCGCGATCGGTGACCCTGGGCTATCCCTCCGACATCTTGAATTTACATACAATAAACATACCAGAGCAGCGCACAAGAGTCACGACTATACTGACCAAGGAGATAACCGGAATGACGAGGCACGTGAACGTGGCGAATCCTCTCAACCAAGTTGACCGTATTAGAGCGTGCGAGTCATGTCTCGGTACCGAGAGCTTATCCGAGCTTATCTTCCCTTCCCCGCAACTTAGCACATGTACTGCACTGCATAGACACCCTGGTACCGCAGAAGCTGTGATTGAATTTTACCCGATATCTGTGACCGAGAAGCTAGCTGATGCACTCCACTCGCACGATCAGAGCTAATTTACATAAGAGGAAATCGTGGGTTAATCTGTGCATCTCATTTTCCGAGCGTTGCCGAAGGGGTTATCTGTTGTCCTTAACTTATCACCGAGGGCGGGGCAGCCGAGTTGTCTGGGATTAAGAGGTCAGAATATTTAGCCATACGAGCATCAAGCACAAAGAATCAAAGCATTAAGAGACCAGGGCGTCAATATTACCATCCGAATCCTTCCCCCCCGTTCGTCAACCAGCACAACCAGTCACCTTTCGGATGACTATCATGGGACTGATGGATTGCCCGCCATTAGAAGACGTTTCCCCGACATGGAGCAATGTCGTGGCTGCTATGACAGCAATCGGAGTCGCAGGACTACTGATGCGCATGTTCTACAATCTCCACCTTCATCCGTTGGCCAAGTTCCCCGGGCCCTGGTACGCCGCTTCCTTTTCCGTGGTGCTGGCCACAATCTCGGTGCTGCGGATGGAGCCTCAGTTTCTGGGCTACCTGGTCAAGAAGTACGGATTCGAGCAGCCCATTCGCGTCACGCCGACGATCCTCATGTTTCCACGGCCATCCGCGTTGAAGGATATCTACTGGGATCCCCAATGCAACACGAAGTCGCGGCTCTATGGCAGCGGGGCGCTGGGGCCGCCACACCTGTTCACCACGCTCGAGCCGGATGCCCACCGGCAGCTGCGGCGGGCCTTGTCAAACGCCCCGTGGACCATCGGCAAACTCCGATTGACCTGGGAGAGGCGGTTCGACCAGCTAGTTGAGCTGTTCATGACTAAGATGCATGAGCATGCCAGGGCAGACCGTGTGGTGAGTCTCAGTGAGAAAGTCTCCGAGTTCGCCGCCGACATCATGACAATCATGACCTTTGGCACGCCTTTCGGCTTCGTCCAGAACCAGCGGGATGAGCGGGATCTCCTAGGGAGCTGGCGGCGGAGCGTCGACCTATTCGCCTTCGCGGGGCGGGCGCGTTTCTTCCGCGAAGTCATTCTTCCCTCGCCCCTCGGGTCGTGGATCTTGCCCTCCATCCGCCGCGAGTCGGGCATTGGATGGATGCTTAACGAGGCAGACCGTCAAGTAACCGAGCGGGAGAAGGCTACCGCAGAAGCCCCATATCCCCACCCCCCGGATTTCATGCAGCAGTAAGCGTCCCTTACCCCGCGGGCTCCCTTCCCCTCCCTTGCTTGCTGACCAAGGCCCCGAGCGCCGGCATAGTGCGCTGGATGCCCGGCTCCCATCTGGTGAGCCACTGTCGCCCGCCCAGCGACGCGCCCATGTCGTCCTGCTTATCCAGGCTGGAGCAGACACCACCGGAACGACCATGGGCAGTGCCCTGCGCTTCCTGCTGCTGCACCCCACAGCCTGGGCTCGGTGCCGGGCTGAAATTGATGCGGCGGACCAGCAGGGCCTCCTGTCCCACCCAATTCAGTACGAGGAGACTCGGCAGCATCTGCCATTCTTGGTAGCTTGCCTGAAGGAGACCATGCGGCTGAATCCCTCGGCCACCAATCTCTTTGCGCGCATCTGCCCTCCGGGAGGTAAGACCATCGATGGTCATCACATCCCCGCGGGGACCGAAATGGCCTGCCACGCCTACACTTTGCAGCGAAGTGCGGAGGTGTATGGCTCCGACGCAAACGAGTTCCGACCGGAGCGCTGGCTCGAGAGTCCACAGCGCACACGAGAATTGGAGGCCGCGCAGTTCACATTCAGTGTCGGGCCGCGGACCTGTCTCGGCAAAGACGTGGCGACGCTCGAGATGTGGAAACTGATTCCCGAGGTATGAAAATAAGAGCCCTCATTCCAGGTCGACAAGGCCACCAATCAAAACAGCTCCAGCTAATGATGGGACAGATCATTCGGCAGTTTGATATTGAACTCATCAATCCTGGTAAATACGTGGTGGTAGGCGGGATTGTGTGGAATGAGGGCTTGATGGGTCGTTTCGTGGCACGGTAAACGGGAGCGACTGAGTAGGGATTAGAGGCTGTTGCTGTTGGGTGGGAGTGTTCGACGGGATTGACAGGGGGACTACACGTACTGTACGTAGTACTCAATGCTTCGTGCAAACCGCGTGTGCAAGCATGTCCTGGCTCCTCAACTATTCTGGACTTGACAAGGAGTCCACAGGTCATCGCTATCATATGCCTCGCGCAGAGATGGGGAAAAATGAGGCATCGTTTGCATAAAAGCCTATCTATAATATCTGATTCAAGGGATTGATTACAGACGCGATGCACCCGCATGACTACCGCGGCGAGGTCTGTTCAATGGCTTGCGGGTTGCCCCTTGACCTCGCCCTCCGCGGGAACCCTAAGGCTGGTAATCTGCTCCAGTTCGCTCAGCAGGCGCTCTTGTAGCGTAACATCCCCAACCTCCGGGATCGGAAGGGGCTGGACCTCACTGTGACGCCAGTACTGACCGGAGACGGCCTCGGTGTCCCCCTTGCCCTCGATCAGGGTGAGATAGGTGGCGATCCCGGCATTAAGGTCCCCCGTAGCGTTCCAGCCGCCCAGCTTTGTGGCGACCCAGCCGGGGTCAAGGGAGTTGGCACGCACAGATGGCCAGCGCCGTGCCAGCGCGGCAGCCATCAGGCAGACGTGTAGCTTGGTATCGCAATAGGCCTGGATGTCGGGAAAGTCTGCCGCCCCGCGGGCTTGCCAGGTGAGGTCGTGCAAAGAAGGGTCACAATCATTGGGGAAAACGGTGGAAATGAAGACATGGCGTAGGGGCAGCGGCTTGACCAAGCAGGAGAGCATGTAGGGAGCTAGGGTGTTGACGGCAAAGATGCTGGGCCAACCCTCCTTGGTGCGTCGGTACCCCCCAGTGTACAGCCCGGCGTTATGGACCACTACGTCAAAGGGGCCCTTTTGATTAATCTCGTGCGCCAGCGCCAGAGTCTGTGCACGGTCCGAGAGGTCGCCTACCAAGCACCCAACCGCCCCGGGGCACGCTGCCAGGGCGTCCTGTGCCCGTCGCGGGTTGCGTGCGTGCAGCATCACTTGGTGGCCGTGGCGCACCAGTCGCTGCGCCGCTAAGGATCCCAGTCCGTCCGAGGAGCCGGTGATGAAAACACGAAGCATGGGGAATGATTGGTATGACAAGTTTCTGTGATGAAAGGGTACAGAGCTGAACTCAACACGCGGGCATACTCCAGAGCGGGGGCATACTTGCCAGGGGTAGCTATTAATTCCCCTGCGGTGGATGGCCACAAAAGCCGAGGATAGATAGCCGTCGATGGCCGATCTTCGGCGCCGAGTGTGATGCAGGCCCACTCCCGATTCTCGACCTTGCTACGACTGCTCCACCATCACCATTCGTCAGCATAAGGCATTGTGATGAGAAGCGTGAAGGATGGTAGAATTTCAACCTATCTAATAAAGCTAAATACGCTTAATAGATTAAAATTATTAAGATATTGCGCAATAAAAAGATCAGCTAGACATTAGATTACATTTTTTTAATATGCTATAACGTAGAGTGGCTAACGGCCAGGTCAGGTCAGATTAATTAGAATTTTTATACCTGACCGCCAGATTATAATTAGATTAAGAAAAAAAAAATTTCGAACAACAGTATAGCTAAAGATCAAATAGTTAATTATATTTATTATTTTTAATACTAAAATCTATTTGCTATATTTTTTTGGTCTTTGTATAGTTAAGATATATTCAAATTAAACAGTTATTAATCTGGCTATCTAAAGTATTACTAAAAAATATATAAAAAGAAACTTTTTAAATAAAATAAAAATAATTTAAAAAAAATAGTATTTTTATTATTTATGTTTTTGAAAAAAAAGAACAAAGTCTTAATAATTCAGATAAAATTTAGTTTTTTAAACTTTTCATTGTTATAATATAAAATAGAAAAAAATATATAACTACAGATTTATTTAGACTATATATTTGTATTATAATATATTATATTTATTCAAACTATATAATTTTTTTATTAGACTATTAAAAATAATTATATAGTTTTTAGTTTATTTTTTAATTTTTTTTATTTTTGATTTAAATAGTTTATTAATCTGTTTTTTTATTTAAAAAAGCTAAATTATATATTATAATCTAAATTTCTGAATCAAATCTGTATTATTTTATTTATTTGGTTTTTTCAGTAATTATACTTACTCAAAACTATTTAATTAAAAATCAGATATTAAATTACTAAATTTTAAAAAATTATTATAAAAATATTTTTAAGATTTTTCTTTATTCTAATGTATTCTATTTATTTAAGCTATGTTTGAAAAAAAGAATATTTTTTATATTTCTAAGCCTTAAATATAATTCTTTTTTTATAAAATGATTAGACTTTAAAAATATTATAACTATCTTCATCAGTGTGTAAAAATATAATAAGTTAGATTTATATAATAATATATTTATAATCAAAATCATATTATTTCAATAGAGTTTTTCTGTTATGATTTTTTTATATTTACTATTTACAGTGTAAGGGCCCAAACAGCCCTTCCAACCTTTGCAGATACCTACAAAGGGAAATGTATATAGATAATCTAAGGCAGTAGTTATATAACAGTTAAATAAGTCTACTGCAGCTACCCCTAAAAACAGCAGCTGCCTTATAAATTAAATAAAGCAGTAATAATATTTTAAAATAATATATTAATATTTTTAGTTTTATAAAAACTATTTATTTATTATATTATTTTACTTTTTAGCTTTTATAATTTTATTACTTAATATTCTATAAAATAGCCTAGTAAGTAATAGCTAAATATAATATATAAAGCTAAACTAAAAATAACTTTTTTAATTTAATTATAAAAAACTATATATTAACTATAGAAAATAAATTATTTATACTAAAAAAAAATATAGATTCTAATCTAAAATTTTTATAAATATTTATATTTACTTAAATAGATTACTAAGCTGTAAAAACAGCTAAAGATTAGTCCTATAAAAAAATATTTATATAAAAATTTAAAAAACTCTAATTCTAGTACTGTAAAAACTAAAAAAAATTAGTATATATATTAATTTATTTATAAATAAAAAATAATATAGTATCTACAACTATACTATTTACTATATATTTATTATTAAATAAAAATTAACTGTAAAGACTAATAACTAAAATAAAAAATAAAAAATATATATTATAATAGTTTATTTAAATTATATTTTAAATAATTTATAAAAAGGTAAAACAGCTAAATTCTACAGTAAAAAAAAATAGGCTGGTTTTTATAAATTTTTTAAAATACAGCTAAAAGTTTTTATAAATAAACAGTAAAAAGTCTGGTTAAGAATATTTAAAGCTAGGTTTTATAAAAAAAAATAAAAATTTATTTATCTATAAAAATAAAAAAAAATAAAAACTAAATTTTATTATAAAATATAAAATATTAATATTATATAACTGTATTTATTTTTTATATCTTTTTTTTATAGTCCAGAAAAAGATCTGTAAATAGTAGATTTTTTTTATAATAAAATAAGATTTTATTATACTACTTATAAAATTATACCCAGTATTAAGCTAATAATATAAATAAATAAAAAATAAAATATTTTATAAATAAATTTTAAAAAAAGTTACAGATCTACTGCTCTTATAAATAAAATTTAAAAACTAAAAATTTAAATTAATAGTTTTATAAAAAAAATTTAAAGGCTAAAGCAACCTTTTTTAATACTATAAATATTTATAAAAATTTTTAAATTAAAAGCTTACTATAATTATAAAAAAGTAGATTACTAAATAAAAAAACAGTAATTAATTAAATTATTTATAAAATAATTAGTAGATAGAATTATAGTATCTACTTTAAACTAAGTTAAAATTATAATCTACTCTAGTTTAAAATTTAAAAAATAGCTGATTTTTTATAAAAAGAAATATTTTATAAAAATTAAAATTATTATAAATAATAAAACTAGAGGTAAATCTAGTATCTGTAATATTTACTAAATAAATAAAATAGTTAACTATTCTAATAAAAATACTTATAGAAAAAGTTAGGTAAAAAAATATATAGTTAAAAAAAACCATAATATTTATAGTATATTTAAAAAATATTTAAAAATACTATAAAAACTAAACAGGTCTTACAATTACAATACTAAAAATAAATAAAATAGTTTTTAAAATATTTTAACTAAAGTAGTAGAAATTTATTATAAAATTTAATAAGTATAAACTCTAATTTTATAAATACTATATATTAAAAGTACTATAAATTATAGTAGAGAAGATTACTTTAAAAAATTTTATAAAAGCAAATTTTTATTTAATAATAGTATAAAAAATTTATAAAATAATTACTAACTAAAAAATACTAGTATAGTATTATAAATATAAAATAGTATTTATAAAAAAAAATATAAGCTTATCTATATAAAGATTAGAGATTAATTTAAAAATTAATTTTTATAAAGATTTTTAGCTAAAGCTAAGGCAAGTATATAAAATATTACCTATAAAAAAAAACTTATAAAACTATTTATAAAAAATACTTATAAAAAAATAGATCTAATATTTTAAATTACCAGTAGGTATATCAGTTTTATTTATAAATAAAAAAAATAAGACCCTAAAAATATATATAAACTATTATAAATAAAGTAAATAGATAATAAAAAATATTTATTTACTATTATAAATTATTAAATATATTAATTAATTTATAGGGGCTTTTTAGTTTATACAGCTAAACCTATATAAAGCCTACTATAAAATTAGAATTATAAAAAAATATAAATAAAAAATAATATTTTATATAAAATATAAACTGTTTAAGTATTTAATTATACTATTTAAACTAACTAATATATCTATAAAATTTTAAAGTTTTATAAATTTTTTATTTACAGAATATTTGGATAACTTTATAATTATTTATTTAAATAATATTATAATATACTCTTAAAATCTAAAGGTATATAAAATATATATCTGTAAAGTACTAAAAATACTATAAAATACAGAGTTATATATAAAATTTAGTAAGTATTATTTTATAGTAATAAAAATTAACTTTTTAGAGTTTTTAATCAGCTATAATAGTATATATATAAAACTAGAGTATATTACAACTATTTATAATTAATCTAAACTATAAAATATAAAAAATATACTAAAATTTATAGATTTTATAAATTAGTATAAATATTTTATTAAAAGATACTTATAAATTATAGTACTATATTATAGACCTTACTTAAATACTTTATAAAAAAAAAAAAAAACTAGATATAATTTTTTAATACTAAAAGCCTGCAAAAGCTTTTAGATATTAAAAAATATATTTATAAAAAATATAATTATAGTATATTTTAAAAAAAAGATTTTTATAAATTAAAATAAATATATTAGCTTTTATAATCAGTAGAGTACTATTATAAAAAAATTAAAATAGCTAATAAAAACCAGTAGTTTTCTACTTATAAAAAATAATTTTTATAGAGCAGAACTATAATATTTATAATTAAAAACTTTTTATAATTATAAAATTATTTAAAAAGTAGTAATACTAGTTTAAGGGTATAAGATATCTGGTAGAAGTAGTTATAAACTATAAAATCTTTAAATATTTTATAATTAATAAAAAATTATTATAAAAATAAATTAAATAGATATAATATTTTCTAGTATTTAAATTTTTTTTAATATATAGACCGGGTTTGCAGAATCCAGCAAATACCCTATTATAATAATTTAATTATAAAAAAAAGCTATAAAAAAAAACTGTAAAAAACTTAAAAAAAATACTATAATAATTAAATAATTTTTTAAATTTAAATAAAAGTACAGCTACTTTTATAAGGGCTAGAATACTATTAGTAAAAAGTTTTATAGTAGATTTAAATTAGCTAAAATCTAATATAAAAATAATAAAAGCAACTATAGAAAAAAATATATATTATAAAAATTTATTTACTAATTTTATATAACCGCAGCTGCTATAAAAATAATCTTATAAAAAAATATTTTAAATAAAATAAAAAAAAAATTATAGAGGCAGCTTATCTTATTAAAAAAAAATATCTATAAAAAAAATTAATTATAATAAAATATTAATTAGAAACTGCTCTACTTTATAGAAAAG